ATAGATAGATAGATAGATAGATAGATAGATAGATAGATAGATAGATAAATCAGGCAGGCAGGCAGATCAGATAGATCAGATAGACAGACAGATAGATCAGATGGACAGACAGACAGATAAAATGGAAGTAATGTTCATTTAAAATTGATACTTGTTTTGTTCAGGATGACAAGAGCTTGCAGCATCCAGTCCTGATCCAAGTTTGGTAACACATGAATTGCTCCCTCTTTAGCAAGATTCCAGCACCAGGTCTCCCTGAACAGATACTACTCCAACCCAGATTGCTGTCCAAAGAGTTCAAATTTCATTCATGACCAACAAAACAGAGCTAGCAGTATAATGTTATTTTGCAATAGGGAGAACCAGCACAAATAACCCCACCAATTTTGACTTCAAAGCAGAAAACTAAGGCTTGCTTAACTGAAGAAACACTGCTAACTATTTCCAGGACACTTTTAACAGAATTACCAGAGTTTTGCATACATTTAGTACAGCCTGATATTATATAACAAACATCAAATGCCACCTTAAATAATTAACATAATAATCAAATAGTTATCTCATTACATGAAATCATGATATGTTTAATCGTGTTTTGGATGAAATAAAAATGGTTGGATTCACACAATGCGTAATATACTAGGGCATAAATGTATATGTCAATTAGTGTACTAAAATTATAGTTTATTCACCTGTTAGTAAGCAAATCAGACTGTGCTTTCAAAGCCATGATGATTAGAATCACACAATATATTAAACCCAAGCCAAATATACCTTACAGTTTAGTACAAGGTATGAGCACATTCAATATATCTGTTATGAACTTATGACCTATGTTCTGAAGACCATATTAAAACAGAAAGAGCTCTCAGAGTTTTTGTTTCTCAAACAAAACATTGCTTTCCCCTTTTTTTTATCAACTTCATATCCTTGTGTGTAAAAATTCCATAGTGAAATAGGTGTTTGTAGAATAAGTATCTAGAATAGCAGTAATGAAATAGCCCTGTTGAATTTGCATATGCAAACAAATTACAAGCAAATTGTAACTTTAAAAGTCCAACAGCAACATAGTCAACTTTAAAATGAGGCAGGGACCCTGCTATTCTCCATGTTGTGGTTTGGCAAGTTCAAAACTCTCTCAACGATAATTTCCAACATTGTTTATGACTGAGCATTCCTCATATCTGTTCTATTTTGACTGTCATTGTTGAGTTGCTACTCAGTTGTGGAGGAGAACCATATTTTCATCATCACTGCTTCACAACAGCATTAGAACCCAAATCATGGCAATTTAAGCAACATTTAAGGCTCATGTGACAATAATAAGTGGAGACATTCCTCTCTATCTTGTTTTATATAAAATGCAAATCCCAATTCCAGTTGTTCCTCATGACAAATCTATTGTGCTCTTGTTCCTCTATAGTACCTTACACAGTAGCAAGTCCAAAATTGATGTCCAGTTGAGGCTGGTCACAACAGCAGTTGACTGACCTGGCCACCTCTTCTGCTTCCCTTCCTGTCTGAAGATCTGATGGATAACCACTAAGGTCAAGGGTCAAGCTCACTATTGACTTCAAGAAAAGCAAAATGTCACTCTTGCCACACTTCACTCCCTGTAGCCATATCTACTAACTCATAAGCCAACAGAGAATGAAACCTGATACAACATAGCATGGAGGACTGAAGCAAAGAAGTCTATGGCTAGATTCACATATCAAGTTAAGCCATAAAATGGTTTGCTTGCTTTGGGTTTTCCATTTTCCAGGGACTGTGGTCAGTGATGGATTAAGGCTCACTGGTGCCCTTAGCATAAATCTTGGTGACCCCCTCCTCTGTATATGC